GATATATAGTGAAAATAGTGGAAAAAAAAGAATAAAAGTGGGAAGCCAGGACACCAGAACCTGGACAGAATTCTGTTCCTCAGATTTAAAAAAATAAATAAAAAGATGAAATGAAAGAGAAAGCAAAAAGAAAGTAAAGCGAAAGAGAAAGCGAAGTGAAAAAAAAAGCAAAATGAAAGAGAAAGAGTAAAGTATGAATTAGTAATATATTGGATCGTAAAGAATCAAAGTAAGAAATGGTAATAAAAGAGTAAAAAATATAGTAGCGAGCAATGATTTAGAGATTTTAATGACTCTTATCGATTTATATCGATTTTAGCAATTTTTCTCTTCAATCAAAACAAAGTGTATAATTATTTATATGATGTAATATTGTAAATAAAAAGTATATTATGTATATATTATTTGTTATATTTCAAATCGCAGTGAGAAACTCAGCAAATTGTTTTACACGTATAATTATATTTATAGTTATTACACGCAAATGACCAAAACATCAAATGAGATAAGTATACTTTTGCTTTTTTAATTTTTTTTACTACATAATGATTAGCACTCATCTATTTAGATAAATAAATTGTCATTATATGTATATTTACAAATGAAGTAATTTTTTTTTTTTTTACTATATAATGATTAATATCATTTCTCTTAGGCTCGATAAATTATTACTATATGTATGTTAACAAAATGATGTATTTTTTTTCTTTTTGCTATATAACGACTAACATTATCAGTTATCTATTTCTTAAATTTTTATTGATATATAAATATAACACTTTAAGAATTAAAGGTAAAACATTTTTGAAAATTTTTGAAATAGATAACAACGATACTAATAACATATCACCTTCTAAAAATCCTATCAATAACACTTCGCCTAACTTATCTTCTTCTACCAATACAACCTACTCTTCTACCAATACAACCTATTCTCCTACCAATACAACCTGTTTTCCTACCATTACAACCTGTTCTCCTACTCATACCAATACAACCTCTTCTACCTCTATTCCCACCAATACAACCCATTCTCTTACCTCTATTCCTACCAATACAACCCATTTTCCTACCTCTATTCCTATCAATACAACCTGTTTTTCAACCTCTATTCCTAACAATATGACCCATTCTCAATCAGTAACTAGTTCTTAAAATAGTGCTAGTAATTCATCCGATTCATACAAAAGCATTAAAAGTGTACAGAATATATTTGAGAAAATGAAAAGAAAATAAACAAAATCAGGACATACTACCCAATCACATCATTCATCTCTTTTACGACAAATCTCTTACTTTTGACAAGATACTCTAGCTTATTCTTCTTTTCGTTCTCAGCAATCACCAAGAAGATCCTAATTACTAAGAAGATCCCAATCACAGGGAAGATCCCAATTATGAGGAAGATCCTAATCACAAGATCGACAATCTTCTAATTAAAATAAGCCATGCAATCATGATCGTGATAGTATATAAGTTTTTTTTTTTTTCTTAGATGTCACACTTTGTGCATTTTTTTTTTTTTTTTTTTTAAAAAACTGAATTAAAGAATATTCGAACCAATACTGCCATCAGGTGGATGAGAAGCTATTTACACAGCATTAGCAGCTATACCTTTTACTTAAAAGAATCAATAAAGATGTACGAGAAATCAAGGCCAAAGTAAAACGGTAACAACTTGACACCGAAAATGAATTTTCTCAGAAGGTCTTAGAAGTAGATATTCGAAATATATCGATATATATAGATGTTGTAATCAGAACTTTAAGTTGAACTTTCTATAAGATATATTTACTGGTATTGCAAAACACCTCTT